AGAGGGCCCAGTGGTGGGCTGGCACCCGGTCACAGCTTACTCTGCACATGTGCGGCACATGCACACACTCACTCTCCTTCACTGGGGGCAGTTCGAGCACCAAATTAGAAATCAGAACATTTGGTTTCAAAGCCCACTCCCTACTTCCATGCAGCAGACAGGTTTCTTTACTTACTCCACAGACTGAATTTGTCCAGCAGATTCGAGAGTCACATTTCAAAAAGGGTCTCTAATCCACGTACTCTGTACTCTCCTTCCTTTTCAGTCTCTCCCCCACCTCTTTGCTCTTCATCCAGCTCAAATGCCATGGCTATGTTACACTCAGTCTCCTGATCTCGCATTTGATTGTGCTCACCTGGCGAAACTACACTCCTCAAAGCCAACTCTCCACCTACTTCCCACCTGAGACTCCGTGGCTGAATGTGACCAGAGGAAAACACACCAGGCTCACTGGTCTCATTTGAATGTTATCGCCACTAACTCCAAGTGAGTCCTTAAAGCTGTCCAGCAACCCGATGCATTTCCCTTCTCCACTTACTCCCTCAATCTTCTGGAAAACGATGCTATACCTTCTCTTCAAACTTTCAATATTCTCCTCCTCCTCCCCTCAGCTGATGACCTTACTTCTTCTTTCATTGAGAAAATAGAAGCAATAGGAAGAGAATTTCTACAAGCTTCCAACACCACATCTACCCACATACCAGCCTCTGCAGCCACTTGTTCTTCCTTTACTCCTAGTACTATGAATGAATGATTAGAGCTCCCATCCAAGCCAAGTCCTGTACCTGGTGTCTAGACCTCCCCACACCACACACACACCTATTCAAGGAAATCACCCCAATTCTCCTTCATCAACAATAATTTTTATCTCAAATGGATCATTCCTATCAGCATAGAAGTGGTACTTCTTCCATGCTGTTTCCATTGCTCTCTTAAATCCTTCCCACTCCGCTCAAACTGCTCCTGGCATTCGGTGGTTCATTCTTAGCCTTTACCTTCCTTGACCCAGCTGAAGCATTTGATTCAAATGAGCAAAGCATATAGGTAAGAGTTTTTGAAAGAGTAAATACAAATGGGAATTCAAGAGAATCTGTGGATGTAATTTACACAAATGGCCAAGAAAGGATTAGCAAGATACTCTAGTAAAAACCTTTTTTTAACTGAATAATCATATGAAAGGAAAAACACTTCTTCAGAGAACTGACTTGTTCATCCTCAACTTTCTCCGTCTGCAGCGCTCTCTTCACTTGATCCCAGGACACCAGGTTTCTGAATTTTCCTCTTATCTCCCTGCTGCTCCTTCTCGGTCTTCTTTGCTGGTAACTGTTTTTCTCTTCGCCTTAACATCAGAACTCAGTCCTGAAATCTCCTCTCTTCCCTCTCTACATTCACTTCCTTGATGGTTTCAGCCAGTCTCAAAACTCTACCATATATATGCTGAAACCGTCCAAATTTATGTCTGCAGCCCAGCCTTCCACCCTCAACTCATTTATTCACCTTCTTCCCTATACTACCAGATCACATGAGCACAGCAAATTCCACACATCCTAACACCATTCTTCTCTTCCTCCCCACATTCTTGTCAGTTAATGGCAATTCCGCTCTTGCTGCGTTCTCCCAAACTCATATCCAATCCATCAAAGAACCCCATGAGCTCAACTGAAAAATATATCCAGAATCCAACCACTTTCGACCTCCTCCACTGCTACCTCCCTGGCCCAAGTCACTATCTTTTTTTTTTTTTTTAAGATCCTTGCAATAACCTTGATTTGACTCCCTGCTACTACTTTTGCTCTATCAAAGGAGGTGGAGGGATCCACTTTCAAACACAAGACAGGTCATGCCACTCCTTTCCTCAAAACCCTCCACTGATTTCCCATCTCAGAGTAAAACCAGAGTTCAGAAGAGAGTTTGCAAGTTGAGGAGACCTTTGGAGATACAGGACAAACAGGTAGCAACAGCCAGAACTGCAGACAGTTTTGCATTCCTTCTGCCACAGGAGGGAGGGAAGCCAAGAATATAGTTGGAGTTTGACCAAGCAGTTGGCATTTGGGTGAGACCAAACGAAGCACGGATGACTCCAGGTTGCCCTGACAATGGGAACCCTTCCCCTTGCAATAAGTTATTATAACCAGAAAAGACACATGCAAATGAAGTTAATAGTAATCAATGGCAGAGCAACACAAGGTCAGGGAGGCATCTAGGAAGAGTCTGTGCTACACAAAAGGGAAGCATTTACATTGTATATAAAAAGGTTACACTGAGCCCACATGCTTGAGAGCTTCTTCCGGCTGGGTAAACCTGAAGATTCTCCTACTGGTTTGGATTTAAATGACAACAATAAAGCTTACATGTTTGTTGCACCATTGAAAGAAGGAGCACAGGGCTGGGAAATAGGGGCTCCCCTTCTCTTAGTGCTCCGCATGAACAAATCCAGCAGCTGGGTGAACTGAGCCTTCCCAGAATGAGGAGTGGTAGAAATGAAAATCAATACATTTATATTTATATTTATATTTATATTTTTATATTTATATTTGCATCTTACTGGTTGTGGTAATGCTTAGTGAGACATTTTTCTTTATGCAGAAATACACATATATTTATACATGTATTTATAACACTAAGCTGACTAGTCATTCATGGTTAACTTCATGGTATACAACCAGTGTATATAAATGAGTATGTGTGTGTGTGTTTGTGTGTATGTGTGTCCAGGGACAGTCCAAACAGGTAGCAGACAACACAAACAGGTAGACAGACTTTGGGTGACAGTCCCCCTAGCCCTATATCCAGCCAGCAGAATAGCAGGAGGCCTTCAGTAAGCTGAAGTTCAATGACTGACAGGCTGAAAGTCAGAGTATGTGCGTCTGCGGGCCCTGGATGCCCTTGCCATAAAAGGGTTCAGAGGATCTGCAACTTGATCTCCTCTCCTCCCTCCTTTCCTTGGTGAGCAAAACTAGAGAAAGGAGCAAGATCACCGCCTGTGTGTAACTTCTAAACCTATGGTTGACAGGTAACTGGAGAGAGACAGGGATTTGAAGAGAGCACTCTAATAGCAGGAATCATGGCACTTTTTTCTTCCCATTTCCCTAGTGCCTAGGACAGTGCTTGGCATGTAATAGATGCTCAGTTAATAAACACTGAAAGAATGAAAGAATGAGCAAAGAAACGAATGCAGAAAAAATGAGCAGTTCCTCGGCAGTGCTCCTGCTCCTCCTCTCAGCACCATCTGAATCTTGGCTAAAGGGGACCAACAATCACGCCTGTATCCTCAACTGCGACATTTCTCCTTTCAGGCTTTCAATGCATTTAGCACATCACTTAGGTGAGTCTACACATATAATTGAAATGCATCACTCAAAGCCCTGCAAGTGACACCAGCCACTACAGGGCCAGTGCTGTAATTTCCAGAGGCGCCTGGCTAATTTGAGTGGCATGGCCTCAAGACAACCTTTACATCTCAAATGAGGAGTGACTGCCCTCATCAACTTTGCGTCCCTCCCCTCCTCCCTGCTGCCTCCCACAGCTGATGAGAACTGCAGAGTGTCCTCCAGGGCTTTCTGGGTCACACTTCATTCCCAGGCTTGCTAGGTGTAAGCTGGTCCTTGGGACTTCTTCACTCTGCTTTAGAGCTTTAGGATAATGGCCTGTGACTCTCTTCTGCAAAGCTTCAGTCCTGCCTTGCTCATCCTATATGGGAATGGATCCAGGCTAGCAATGGACCTCTATTAAGTACAGGTCCATTTTTTGCACAGGGCTTACACAATCCTTGCCCTCTGGGCATTGCAGTCTAGTTGAGTTTCTTCTGAGACACAGCATTTCCTTTTCCTCCAGTGTAAACTATATCCAAATCTCCTTCTAAAGAGTGCTTTGTCTAAGCCACCTATGTCCCACCCAATGAGTTTTATACAGATAGAATCAGGCTAAAAAGGTCTAGAGACGAACTGAAGGCAACAGAGAGCACCTTAAGGTAACGGCAGGTGGTGGAGCATACAAGAGGCACGATCATTCCAAAGTGGGCTGACCGAATGCAGGTAAGGGTACAGTCCTTCAAAAGCACCTGCTCCAACTGCTTTACCCACCTAGGATTCACATGCATCAAACCACATACCTCATCCCAGCTCTCATTTTTGATCTTGGACTCTGCACCTGCCTTTGATAACTTATTAAAATCAGACTCTAGAAGGTGGAAGAGACTTCATAATCACTGTCTACCTTCTGTCCCCATGCAGGAATCCCCAACATCCCTGACAGGCAGCTAGACGGCCTTGTCTTATGCACCAAACACGTCTGATCATATGAATCACCTGGGCATGTGAAAAAAAGCACAGCTCACCAACTATACAAAGCTATACAAAACTAGAATCTCCAGAGAAGGAGCCTGTTAATCTGAATTTTCAGCAAGTGCCCCTGGTGACTCTCACAGGGAAGCATAGTTTTTACATGCATGTAATGCAGTAGTTCCTGAGAGTGGCTACATATGAGAATCAGAGAGGAAGCTTTTTAGAAAAGTCAATGACAGGCTTTCACCCCTAAATATTCCTACTTAATTGGTTTGGGATGGAGCCCAGTTGGTATAATTCTTTTCTTTTCATTCTTTTTTTAGTAAATTCTCCCAGATCCTGAGGGGGTGATAAACTTTTCTAAGCATCCAGCTAATTCTACTGTGCAGCCAGTATTATACATTAGTAGTACCCTTCATTATGCCCCACCACCGTGTCCAACCAACACGTTCTGTAACTCTCAAGCTGACCAAACTAACATGTTCACCCATCCAACACAGGATGTAATTTCCTGTTGTGTTAAGAAGCTGCCTATTTGCACTTAAAAGCAGGTTATGAACTGCTAAGGCTTGTACCAGTTGAGTCTTCACTTCTCGCCCCAATACACATATATCTACAGCCCTCCCTGTCCCCGAACTAGCTGGACCAGACAACCCTAGAAGCCTCAGTCCAGGGCTCTTCCCTCCTCCTCCCCAGTCCACCCCCAGCTCTACTCACATTGTACAGCACGGTGGTCCACCCTTCCATGGTGATGCACTGGAAGACAGTCAGCACAGCAAAGAGGATGTTATCAAACTGGGTGATCCCATCATTGGGGCCAATCCAGTCCTTGCATTCATAACCAGCAGGGCAGCCCTGCACGCCACATGGGTGAGGGGGGTCAAATCCTTCTAGAATACCTGCAGACACATTTGGAAGGTGGGGGATAAATCACATGGTGATTCACAGGAGCTGGAAAGGACCCCAGGAAGCCACAGACAAGTAATTCCATTCCCCATGGAAAGAGGCCTGCCCTTCTCTGTCTCAGGCTCCCTCTCCTCTCTGGACTCTCTGCACCTCCCAGCTCACATATCACGTGCTCAGCCCAATGTTTCCCAGTCTCCTGAAGATGGAGCCTCTCCTCCGCATGGTCCCCCACTCTCTGCAAGCTTCATCCTCTATCCTCACCTGCTGTACCACAGGAACTTAGAGGACTGAATCATACAGAACACTTTGAGGAGAGGAGAAGGCAAAGTGAAGTTTTCTAGCTTCAGACTCTAGGATGAGCCCTGAGTTCTTCCTGGGTTTCTTAGGGACAGTCATTAAACTATAGTCCTTTTAGGTTTTTTTTTTTTTTTTTTTTGGAGATGGAGTTTCTCTCTTGTTGCTCAGGCTGGAGTGTAATGGCGCTATCTCGGTTCATCACAACTTCCACGTCCCAGGTTCAAGCAATTCTCCTGCCTCAGCCTCCCAAGTAGCTGGGATTATAGGTAATGTGCAACCACGCCCAGATAATTTTGTATTTTCAGTAGAGAAAGGATTTTTCCATGTTGGGCAGCCTGGTCTCAAATGCCCAACCTCAGGTGATCCACCTATGTCAGCCTCCCAAAGAGGGGGTCTTAACACCTTGTTTTTCTAGCATGGACTGGTCTTGAATAAAAGATAAAAATATAAAATAGAAATCCAAAGTGAAGGTTCTTTCACTAAAAGCATGGTAACTATTTGGGATTCTCCAGCCTGCCTCCCATCTCCTTTCCTCCTAGGATACTCGAAACTCAACTTGAAAAGAGCAAATGAAATAAAAAGATATGAGAATCTGGGGTTGTGTACCCTACCAATCTCCCAAGCATGATCGCACACCAAGCCCAGAGCTCCCTTAGCTCTTCCACACCATGTTTGGGTCAAAACAGAAAGTGAGGAAGATGATGAAAAGGAGCATGAAGGTAAAATGTCTCCACCGATCCAAAAGGGACCCAACTCTGACTCTGGACTCCTCCATTTCAGCGGCCTGTGGGCCAGAGAGGCCACTATACAAAAAGTACTTATTGATTCAGTCAGAGGCCGCTGTACAGAGTGTCAAGGGGTATTGATTCAGATATTCAGACAGATGGCTCTTTTTTTTTTGTAGCGAGGGAGACTGGGGTCTCACTAGTTGTCCAGGCTGGCCTCAAACTCCTGGGTTTAATGAGCCTGTAACTTAAGCCTCCAGGGAATAGCTAGAACTACAGGTGTGTGCTACTATGCCTGGCTCAGACTGATGGCTTTCGAAGTTAATTTGCATTGCCCTTGACTGTGGGATAGGAGATCCAAGACCACCTATCTGAAATCTTCCAACTATGTATTTCCTTTGCAATGTTAATGTCAAGTGAAGATCTCTAGTCTAGGTTGGTTGTGCCTCAAAAGGCTCCTGACTAGAAACTTCTGATTTAAGTCCAGGGTTGGAATAGGACATACCTTTCCAATGAGCCTCCAAGTGCCCTGAAATGAACCCCAGTTAACAGAGGGAAGACGGGAAAAGGAGAAGACAGAAAAGAGAGGCCCTACCTGAATTGTTCATGAAGCATGCTCGGTGTAACTTCCCGCTGTAGAACTCCAGGCCGATGATAGCGAACATCAGGATGGCAAAGAAGAGCAGAAGGCCAATCTGCAGAAGAGGGACCATGGCCTTCATGATGGACTTCAACACAATCTGCAGGCCTAGAAGGAAGGACAGAGAATGGCCAATGCAGCCATCCCTCAGCACCATCTGATAGGGCAGGACTGGCTTCATTCCCTCACTGGTTTCATCCATGCTGCCTGCTGGATTCCTCTGATAGATTAAGTTTATTTACGTGTGCTCCTTTCCTAAAGGAAATTAGGCCCAGCTCTTCTAGGCTGTAAAGACCACAAGAGCTGAGACAAAGTTCATCTTCCCATTCACTCTATCTCAGACCCAGTTCTCTCAGTCCCTGTTGGGGAAGCATAGTGAGCACAAACACTGTTCAGAAAATGCCATATCCTTTGACCCACACATTGCACTTCTAGGATTCTAGCCAAGAGAACAGTCAGAGATTTGAATAAAGATTTAAGTAAAAAGATGTTTGTTGCAGTACATTGACAGTGAGAGAAAAACTGGAAATAGCCTATTTTTATTTTTTATGTCATCCAGCAACATAAAACATAAAAGTGGTTAAATAAATCATAGCACATGTAAGAATTTTTGTTTTGAGACAGAGTCTCGGTCTGTCGCAGAGGCTGGATTGCAGTGGCGTTATCTTGGCTCACTGCAGCCTTGACCTCCCAAGCCCATGCAACCCTCCCACCTCAGTTTACTGAGTAGCTGGGACTACAGGAATGAGTCATCATGCTCAGCTAATTTTTGTTGTTGTATTTTCTGTAGCAATAGGGTTTCACCATGTTGCCCACGCTGGTCTTGAACTCCTCCTGAACTCAAGCCATCCGCCCGCCTCAGTCTCCCAAAGTGCTGGGATTACAGGCGTGAGCCACTGTGCCCAGCCAAGAATTTTTAAGGTTAGGAAAATACTTATTTCAGGATATACAACTACAATATATGTAATGATTTCAATTATATTAAAATGCACAGGAGAAAAGCGGAAAATACTGAAATTCTGACAGAAGTGATTTCTGAGTGAAAAGATAAAGAATGCTTTTCTTTTTTGTTTTCTTTACTTTCCACACTTTCTGTATGTATTTTCCATTACCTTTTATATTTGCAAAAAGTTAAATTGAAAAGTAAAATGTTATGCCAGATTGCTCCAACTCCACTATTCATCACCACTGGGGCTTTTTCCCAGGAGGAATGTTTGTTTGTTTATCCCAAATTCCCTTAGACCTGGATCCAGCTGAGGACACATCAAGAAAGTTCTTAGCAGAGCAGAAAGAATGGCAGATGCTCACTAGGTATCCCTGACACGAGCTTCAAGGGCCGCAGGACACGCACAGCCCGGAGGGTCCTCAGGTCCACATGAGTGTTGAAGTGGGTTCCCGCAGTGGCCAGGATGCTGCAGACAGAGACACAGAAGGGTCAAGGTTACCAGTCTGGCTTTCCCCTCTTTTCCATGCAAGAAGCGGGGCTGCGGCAGGCTCAGCCTGGAAAGCACACAGCGCTGACGCCAGCTGTATGTGGGCGCACCTGAGCTTGGGTGAATCACCAGTGGCTCCAAGTGGAATTAAATTTAGCCATCTGGGTTTCACTTTGCACAGAAAGAAAACTTATCATCATACCAGAACCCTAGTTCCAAATCCCGAGCAAAACACAACATCTGTCCCATTCCTGTACCCAAACCTTGTCCCCTTTCTCCTCTCTGCCCCTTTTCAAACTCCTCCTCCTCTTTCCAAGCCACCAAGCCCTTGTATTATTTTATTTCAAAATTTTCTTAGGTTCCCCTGTCTATCTCCTTCAGGAAATTTCTCTAGATTAACTCCTCTCTACCTTGACACTTAGAATTTTTACCAAACAAATCAATTACACTGATCCTTACAATGGAGAATCACTTCAATGGTCTTCACATAGTGTCAGTGTTTTTATAATTGCACAAAACCACTCTTTGACCCTAATTGGATTTCTTTGTTTCTATTTTTCTACAATCCACAGCCATATACAGAAACACACGCACACACAAATCCATAATTCTATTAGATTGTGTACACCAGAGAGACAACTTATTTCATATAATCTCATGACATTTCAGGGTCTTTGGAGAGACAGGGATATATGTGCCTTCATGAAAAACACAGCAAAAGACTAAGAGCAGAACAAGTAAGTTTAAGTCTGACTCATTCTGTGAGAACCGGGTGACTCGACACAAGCCTCTCAACCTCTATGAACCTCACTTCTGTCATCTCTAAAATAAGGGGATATCATGGTCTAGTTATAAAAACAAAAAGACATGGTATTTAATATTACAATATACTGTGTTTGGAAGACACAGTCGTGAAAGGAGTCTCCCCCACCCAGGCAGCACAGAAGACTGTGCTGTGCACCTTACCGTCATTACGAGAACCAGAAACAATGATCCCATTTCTTGTGGTTCTCTATTCCACACCTGTCCTTGAAGTTTCTCCTTCTCTCTCCCCTCTTTCTCTTTCTCTATTTGTGTCATATTTTTCAGTTCTTCAAACTACAACATGCACATAGACATTGGGCTAATGCAAAGCTTACTAATATTAATAAAATACTAATTGAAAACACGCTCATTTTATTCTTCTTTCTGTTAAGAATGAAAGAAAATTTCTCTCTCATAACCCCCCCAGAACAATCCCTGCTACCCGGAACCATCAGGAAATGAGGCATTCAGAAAACCGTGTTCCTCTATAGTCAAAGGGTGGCAAGAATGGCTTGTTGTTTATTTCCGATGGAACCTCTCTGAAATAGTTCAAGTATTAAAGAAGGTACCAGAAATGCCTTCAATATTTGACATGTCTTCAATCTCAGAAAGAAAACGATATGGAAAGTGCACGTCCTGTGGACCTCGGAAGCAGATGTACAATCATTAGGTACAAATCATACAGACCAGGACAACAGAATCACAAGGGGTAACTGACACAAGGAGTGCTGTCAACAGCCAAGCAGACGGCTTCATGTGCTGAACCTTCCCACAACTCCAGGTATCCGGGAGCCACCTATGAGCATCGCGAGGAAGTAAAGAGGGTTCCTACATGGGCTGAAGGTTATATCCAAAACCAGTAGTGATTCCTGTCAACCTTAAGATTCTCCCAGTCTACATTCATAATACCCAAAAATAAGAAGCAGAAAGAAATCCTACTCATAAAGAATCTCAGGAGCTAGACAAGGTTTCCGAGTCTTCCCTTGTCTCATGACTCACACTTCCATGCCATTGTCGGAAAAGGGGTGACTTGGGGGAGCAGAGTCTTCCACACTGCTTTTGACTCTATCTTCCAAGGCCAAGGAAAGACATTAAGGAGGGGGTCATATAATTTCTAGTAAGTAGGGAAGGACTAAAGAGAAAAAAGAACAAGGAGACACATGGAAAATAGAACTGAAAAATATGACAGAAATAAAAGAGAAAGAGACCAGAGACAAAGAGACACTTCAAGGATAGGTGTGGAGATAAGAGAATCATCACAAGAAAAGGGATCACTGTTTTGCTGGTTCTTGTAATAAAGGTAAGGTGCACAGCACGGTCTCCTGTGCTGCCTGGGTGGGAGACTCTCCCTTCACGACAGTATCTTCTAAACGGTATGCAGAATATGAGTTGGAAATTAAACTTCTGTTTCCTAGGATACTCAGATACACATGAGACACTCTCTTCATATCCTAAACAACCCTGCTGGAAATGAAAATTTCCTCTTCAACCCTGAGTTTAACAGGTATGTTTCAGAACACAGTGGTAGAGGCAGAAAGATAAAATTAAAAGGCAAAGACGCTCAAATGTAGAGGGGAAACATGGTAGAGAAAAAGAAGAATGAGATGATAGAAGAGTCAGCAGTAAAAGAAAATGTAGGGATATAAACAGGAAAGGAAATAAAAACTAGGGAGAGAAGCAAAGGTCAGAGACATGGAAAAGGGAACAAAAGCAAAGCTAACTTGAAAGAAGGAAGAAAAAAGATGGTATTTGTTGCGGAGTTTCACACAGCCAGCCATGACGTATGCCCACGTCACCAAGTTAGTCCTTGGCTGAAACTAGCTGCTCCCCAAACTCTCCCAACCATGCTGCGGCCAGGGCTATGCAGCTTGCAGCCTCGTGCTGTCCTGGCCCTCAGAATTTTCTTTCCTTTCCTCCAGTGCAGGAGGGCTACCAGCTGGGTCTTTAACTGATGCGCACTGGCCACAGGCTACTTCCTAACTCCCACTGTCCAAATACCCCTTGAGGCAGGAATGACAGCTGGCTCCCCTGTTCACCTGTTAGAAAGCAGGAACAATGGGATTCTTAGAGGAAAAAGAGCCCTGTTCTGGGCTCTCATAATGTGTCCACCTCTATCACTGCCCTAACCACATACTAGAGAAATTCTGTTTTCTCATCTGCCTCTCCCACTAAATCTGAAACACCTCTAATGGAGGCACCATTTTATTCATCGCTACCCCCAAATCCTAGTCCAGTGACTGGCAAGTAAGAGACACTCAATAAAAGCTTGATGAACTGAACTTGAATTGCACTGATTAAATTAATAAATTTGTTGAAGCAGAGGTCAAAAAGAGAGAACATCAGGAAATTCTAGAACTTACTATGAGAAGAATAGGGTAGCAAGCTTGGATACTATTCCAACATCCATGTGTTTGAGTACACAGGAGAGTACTGAAAATCTATCCTCAAGCATTTAGAGTCTAATGAGGGTCCATTTGACCCAGCAATCCCATTACTGGGTATATACCCAAAGGATTTAAATCATTCTACTATAAAGACACATGCACATGTATGTTCACTGTGGCACTGTTTACAATAGCAAAGACCTGGAACCAACCCAAATGCCCATCAATGATAGTCTGGACAAGGAAAATGTGGCACATAGACACCATGGGATACTATGCAGCCGTAAAAATATGATGAGTCCTTTCTAGGGATGTGGATGAATCTGGAAACCATCATTCTCAGCAAACTGACACAAAAACAGAAAATCAACCACCACATGTTCTCATTCATAAGGCGGGTGAACAATGAGAACACATGGACACAGGGAGGGGAGCTTCACATGCTGGGGTCTGTTAGGGGTGGCCAAGGGAGGGACAGTGGGGGGTGGAAAGGTTGGGGAGGGATAACATGGGAAGAAATGCCAGATGTAGGTGACGGGGGGATGGAGGCATCAAACTACATTGCCATGTGTGTACCCATGCAATAATCCTGCATGATCTGCACATGTACCCCAGAACCTAAAGTGTAATAAAATATAAAATAAACACACATAGATAAAATGTATCATCTTAAAAAAGATTTTAAGTTTTGAGGTCCATGTGCAGAACATGCAGGTTTGTTACGTAGGTAAATGTGTACCATGATGGTTTGCTGCATGTATCAACCCATCACCTAGGTATTAAGCCCAGCATGCCTTAGTTATTTCTCCTGATGCTCTCCTCCCTTCCCCCCATCCCCTACCCCTTTATCGGCCCCAGTGTGTGCTGCTCCCCTCCCTGTTTCCATCTGTTCTCACCAGTCAGTCCCATTTATGAGTGAGAATGTATGGTACTTGGTTTCCTATTCCCACATCAGTGTGCTGAGGATAATGGTGTCCAGCTCCACCCATGTCCCTGTAAAGGATATGCTCTCATTCCGTTCTACGATTGCATAGTATTCCATGGTGTACATATATGTACCACATCTCTATCCAGTCTATCATCGATGGGCATTGGCTTGATTGCATGTTTTTGCTTTTTCAAATAGTTCTGCAATGAACATATGGGTCCACTGTTCCTTAGTCCAGTGTGTTGCTAAAAATACCAAGGTCAGAGTTTTGTGATTCTAGGGCCACAAATCAAGTGCCAGCAGTAGGATTGCTGGGTCAAATGGTGTTTCTGGTTCTAGATCTTTGAGAAATCACCACACTGTCTTCCACAACGATTGAACTAATTTACATTCCCACCAACCATGTAAAAGTATTTCTATTTCTCCACAACCTCACCGGCATCTGTGATTTCTTGACTTTTTAATAATCACTATTCTGACTGATGTTGAGATGGCAATATTCTCGAAAGACTCTCTTACTGAGGACTGGATGGATCCTTTCTTGTGGGATCTTCCCAGTTCTCAGTAAGAGAGCTAGAGAGAAAGAGGAAAGCATGGAAACTCGGAAGTTAGAGACTTGCGTCCCAGCAAAGCTTAAGTATTGAAGTACACACAGCTCAGCAAAACCATAGGCCTGTAAGTACCAGGGCTTAATCAGGCGGCTACTGGAAAAGTAAAGAGTAACAGCTCTTGACTCTCAGCCTAGTGGAAGTAAACAGACACAGAAAAGAAATAAATTATAACACGCCGTGAAGCATTATAACAGAGTTGTTTACAAAGTGCTACGAGAATGGGAAATGCCACAGTGACAAACACAGGGTGAT